ACTCCCCACTCAAATCTCTCTCTTCCGCCCAACCCCCACCTATCTCTGTGCCTTTGTGATGGCTGTCTAAAAGCCAATTACAAAAATATCATGGCCTCTTAAGGGGGAAAAAAATGTATTTAGTGCTCTGCTCTCTGCCTGGGAGTTTTGCTGTTCCAAAACGCAGCAATCAACTTCTTTTCAAAGTTCTGCTACCCATTCAACCTGACATTAACCTCTGCCCCCAATAGAGATCCCAGTTGATTTACCTGAATTTTGATTTACTTCTTGCCTCAATAAAATACACTAAATCACAATTTGAAAGGTGACAGAACACTCCCTATGTGCCCCCTTCCATACACATACACACACACACACACACATATAAAACCAGTGAAATAACTGTATAGCACACTTACTTGGATGGTAAGACTGTCAAAGAGTGGCATTGGGTAGCCACTTAACCACTCTCTGCCTCCGTTTTCTCCCCTTGTAAGATGAGGAGCTTGGACTAGAAGTCTCAGGTCCCTTCCAATTCTGGAGCTGATAAGTCTCATCAAAGTGATATAACTTTAACCTATACTGGAGTTGGCAAATCATAGCCCTTGGGTCATATCTCATCCACTGCCTGCTTTTGTATAGTCCATGAGCTAAGAATGGTTTTTACATTTAAAAATCAAAAAAGTATTACATGACATGGAAAAAAATTATATTATCATTTACATATCATTTGTGGGTGCTCTTGCAACACAAGGCTAGAGTTGAGAAGTTGCAACATAGACAGTATGCCTGCAAAGCCTAAAATATTTAGGGTCTTTACAGAAAACGTTTGCTAACCCCAGACCTAAGCCATCAGACCATTTGCATAGTAAGAAAGTCTGCTGCAACACTCTCACCTGACTGAAGTTTTATCTCTGGAAAAGAGGAATCTCACAAAGTAATTTCAAGAGCCAAAAACAAAATTAGTGGACAATTAGAAAATTTGATCCTTATGAAAGAAACTGCTGGAAATCACCGATAAATCTCCAACGTCAGGATTGATTTCTTACGAGAAACGATTTACTCCAAAGAATTTGTCACTTCCCACTACTTGCAAAAAGGCCATTACAGTGAATTTTTCCCCTTTCCTTTTTTTTTTCTTTTCACTTTTTTTAAGTGGTCTGAAGGCAAATCTATCTTTCCTTCATGAGTAATAGGATCATTCGTGAAAATGGCTGTTAAAAGCAAGCAAGCATGGAACAAATCGCGGTCCAATAAAGCAGTGACTTTGAAAAGGAAATTGCCCTGCTTAAGTGATGGATTCTGTTTCAGTCCTCACGACCCAAGTTATGAGGCAGTCCAGGGACCCGGGTCCTGGCCCTTATAGTCAAAGCAGCTGCAAAGCTCCACTGGGAACTGGCCAAGGACTCTGTGAATGGCCAAAAGCGAACCCACCCACCCCACCACTTCTACAGACTGCAAGCCTACAGGGCTACAGAGGCTTAGCAAGAATGTGGCAGCACCTAGCATCTAGTCTCCTCCAGCGACCCTTTCAGCCAGCCTGGAGTGTCCCCTCACCCCTGCCTTCTCTCTGCTTACTTATTCCAATCAAGGCCTACTTTGAGTTCCATAACCTTATAATACCCTGTATTATTTTTCATCATTTTATGGTTATGTTTTCTCTTCCCAAGGACTGTAAGATCCTTGAGCACAAATTGCACCGATCATTTAGACAACTTTCAGTTAGAGACAAGAAATCCTGGCGAAGAGGACGATAGCAATGAAACAGGAGATTGTAGGGCTTCGAACCTTTTTTCTCAAAGAGGAGATGGGAGGCTTGAACAATGTTTGCTCTCTCTGATTCTCAGGCAGGTTTCCTAGATAAAAAGCTGAGATCTGGGGACAATGTGAGAATCCTTAGCAGTATGCTGTTGTTGCTTTGTCAGAAGATGTTCTGCCTATTGAGAGCAGAGTTGGTGCTGCAAATTCTTCCCTTCTGGACTTCGCTGAGGAACAGCTTCAAATCAAACTGTTCCATTTCCTTCAGAATAGAGAAGATGGAGCCTCAAAGCTGTAGAGCTCCCTACTTTCAGCTTATGGGGGCGTGAGACTGCGACATCAGGCCATACCCTTGTTCCCAAGACACCAAATGTTTGCTTCCCATCTTAACTCTATTCAAGGCAGTCACTTCAGAAGGAACGTTTGCTGAATTCATCTGTATGCTGTAGCCATGTAAATAAATGTTCTTTCAAAATTAGAAATATTTGCTTTAATTCTAAATTAAATTTAACATTTTCCTTTATATTACTGTTTTAAGATACTTTGTATTTTGAAAGGAATTTAATGTTTTAGAAGAGTCTTAGTCCTAGAACCTATCAAAGCAGGGCTTCTTCATTTTGCTTTCAAAAAGAATCATAAGATGATTGTAACCACTGGGAAAAGATAAAGCCAATTCATTAACCTGGAGGTATCTAAAAAATCAACCACTGAGCTCTACCCCTCAAGAGATTCTGATTTAATTGCCCTGAATGGGGCCTAGGTATGGGACTTTTTTTTTTTTTTTTTTTTTTTTTTGGAGACAGAGTCTCACTCTGTCATCCAGGCTGGAGTACAGCGGTGCAATCACTACTCACTGTAATCTCCACCTCCCAAGTTCAAGCAATTCTCATGCCTCAGCCTCCCAAGTAGCTGAGATTACAGGCGCCCACCACCACAACCAGCTCATTTTTCTATCTGTAGTAGAGACTGGGTTTCGCCATGTTGGCCAGACTGACCTCAAACTCCTGACCCCAAGTGATCCACCCGCCTCAGCCTCCCAAAGTGCTGGGATTACAGGTGTGAGCCACCACGCCTAGCCTACAGGTCTGGGTATTTTTTGAAATCTCCCCAGTGTTTCTCTGGCCATGTGAAAATCAGACTCCAGGACATGAGTCTCATACATACTTCTGTTGGAGTATTTATCACTTTATACCATCAATACTCATGTGCATATCTCCCTCTCTGTAGTGATAGTTTCTGAAGGGCTGGGAGAGGACTGTCAAAACCCAAAGTGCCTACCATTAACCCAGATCCTTCTGAAGGACCATCTGCTGTGGAGGGAAGGTGGGGAGGAACTCTAGGAAGTATCTCAAGCAAATGTGGCCAGGCTCTGTACTCCATGATGCCAACAACCTGGACACGGATGATTGGCCCAGGATAGGCGCCTGCCCCCAGGTCTGCGGCTATACAGGGTGTTTTGCAACCTGTAAGGAGCCTGATACAAAGGCTCAGTCCAACTCTCACCCCTGGTGAATCCCCAGCGGGGCCAACTAGATCCTTTCACTAAAGGAGTTTAAATGTGAGATCAACTGAGAGCTGAGCAGTTGGTAGCAGGAGCAGAAGCCAAAGGACACCCAGGGAAAAACAGCGAGAGAGGAGCTGAATCACCTTGGCGGCTAAGCCTGTTAGTAGGAATCGGCAGATGCCTGCTGCTGAGGGGGCAGCGAGATAACCCAGCCACAGAGCTGTATCCTGAATGACCTTCCAGTTCCTGAACTTCAATCCAGTTTTCGTGAGGCCTGGCTGGGTGGCCTTTCCGGAAGGCTTTTCGGAGACACGTGGCTGAATGGTGGAGATTCCGGTCAGCCTTCCTTCCACAGTAAACTCCCATTACTTAGGGTAAACTCAGTGGTATCTGTTCCTTGCAAACCCCCCCACCCTGCCCCCCAAAAAAGTCCAATCAGCACAATGCCCAGGGTCTAGCACTTTGCCTGGCACACAGCAAGTGCTAAATATTTGCAGGTGCTTGGACTGCCTGATCATCCCCAGCAAAAAGCCTTCTGAAAATAAAGAAATCATTCAGAGTAAGAACATTGATGAGGTTCGTCTTCAAATTCCGAAAACAACGCTAAAAGGCAATAAAAAATTAAGCTTATTCTGCCCTCCAATTTCTGAATCTATCTACATTTCTACCATAAATCTATCAAAGAGCAAAATGTCATTTTCTGCAGAACTGCAAAGAGCATCCTAATTTCAGCTAAGGTATGTTTGGATGACTTGATTTTCACTTCGCTTAATCTTAAATCACAGCAACATTAGTAAGAACAATTTTCTTCCCACACTCGCTTCACTGACAAACCTGCAAAGTAGCTGATCTTTGACTTTTAAGAAGTTTAATAATACATGATCTTCCCCCCCACACTGCCACACGCATTTCCCCTGCCTATTGTCTGTATCAGCTACTTGAAGAACACATACTCCCCAACAACTGGATGAGTCATAAAACAAGAGGTACATGGAAGTAAACTGAGCCTGTTTACACTTTCCCTGGCCCCAGCTAATAAAATAAAAGAGGTCCTACTGAATTCAGGTCCACTGGCTTCCGGAAAGCAGGTTTCTGCTTAGCAAAGACATGCCCTATTTAGTACATTATTTTAGAGGTAGAGCCAATTCCATGCCCCATGTGAATAAAATGTATTTACGGTTATAACCATGCACAGGGTGTGTAAGGACTTGCCCTCCTCCTGTCCTCTACAAAAGAAGGCTCAGGCAGCTTCTGGTGGTGAGCTAACCAACAAAAGCAATGCCTAGAAGGTCTCACCTCTCCCATCCACAGAGCTCTGGAATAGGGGCCGGACCCCTGGTCGCTGGAAACTCAGCACCCAAGGGGGTGCTTGCTGAAGTTTCCCATCTGCATTTTTGAAAATCTGGATAAAGGCAGGTTTAGCTCAACCTCCCCGGACCCGTTCCCGATAAAGTGATCTTATGCCTCTGGAATTGGGATTTTGAATGTATGTGCCTACCCCATGTCTGGTGTTAGATTACAACAGCATGAAAATGGAGCCTAGGACTGAGGAACCGGCCAGCCTCAGAAGCCTTCTTCATTGCCTGCCATGTAATACATGATATGCAAAGCCTCTGACTTCAGCCAGCAGATATTTGGAGACCGTGTTGGCCTTAGCATGGGGACTAAACTAATGTGTGTTTAGGTCAGAAAGCGAATCAGAAAAGCCACTGGAGGGCACGTCACGGAGTGAGAGCTCTATAAATTCATCCCCACTCGCAGCGTCTCCTGGCAAACACTCGGCTTCCCTCACCCGGCCGCTCCGCATCTCTCCTTCTCGGTGCTAGAACTCCAGCTGCCCGGCAGCTCCTTTTCTCGCCGCTGCCTCCTGCCCTGCGGAGAAGCGAGAGGACTAGACAACCGAGCGGGAAGGCCGGCCTTCGACAGGCGCGAGGAAAGCCCGGCGCGGCGCTGCACCGGCAAAGCGCCTCCCTCCCAGTGCGGCGCGCGGGGGCGAAGCCCGGCGCGGGCGCAGCGGTCAAGTTCGGATTGCCCCCTTCGGCTGGCCCGCACAGAGCGGCACACATTCCTGCCGATTTTTGATCCACCCGGAGGAGAAGGCGCAAGCCCCGCGGCGTCTCCACGCTCTCAGCGCTCTCCCTGCAGCCCAGGGAGGGGCGCCTCGCGTAGCCCACTCGCACCCCGGACCCCCGCCTCGGGAACTCCAGCGCCTCCTTGCTGCTCGCCTCTCCTCCCCCACAGCCCGGCCCAGCCAACGCCTCCCGACCCCTCCCTCCCGGGGGCCCTGCGCCTCCCCTCCCCCACCCCGGCTCCCGGCCCCCCAGCCCCCGCTCTAGAAGACCAGCCTGCGCTCCTGGCGCCCTCATGTCTTCACGGGACTCCCCGCGCCGGTTGACGTGGTGTCTCATTCGGATCTCCAGGCAAGACCTCAGCTCCCGCGGCAGCATCAGACAAGCCCGTCTTGTGCTCCCAGGCAGTGCGCCCAGAGGAGGCGCAGAGCGCCGCAGCTGCAGCTGAGCAGCCCGCAGCGCCCCGGGCCCGCGCAGCCCCAGCCAAGAGCGCGGCGCGCGCAGCCCTGTCACCTCCCCCCCACCCAAAGCAGCGGCGGCTGCTCGGACCTCGGCTTCTGGGGGTGCGGGGGGCAGGCGAGAGAGTTGTCGGCAGCCCTCGCGCTGTTCGCGGCGGCCGCGGCTGGAGTCTTGGCTGCCGCCTCCAGGGCGCTCTTGCTGCCCCGCGCGACCCCAGGATTGCGAACTCTTGCCCCTGACCTGTTGGGCGGGGCTCCGCGCTCCAGCCATCAGCCCGGATGGGTCTCCTGGCTGGGACTTGGGGCACCTGGAGTTAATGTCCAACCTGGGGTCTGCGGAGACCCGATCCGAGGTAAGTGAGGGAGCGGGCCGGGGAGGAGGAAGCGGGTGGTGCCTGCGTAGCGGGCGGGTGCGGCTGGCTGAAGGGTGCCCTAGTCAGAGGGGTGCGTCTGAGAGTAGAAAGTGGAAAGACTAGAGGGAGGCTAAGCTATGCGAGGAGAGAGAAAAGTAGAACCGGAGAGAGGCCGGCCTTTCGGAGGAGCATGTTGCGCTTTCCACGTGGGCAAAGATCTCTGGAGCCCCAGATGCCCCCGGACCCCGAATGCCCAAGATAGGCAGTTTCCTTCCCGGACTCGGCGAGGCGCTCTTCCGTCAGGTCACAGAACGATTCAGGGCTTGGGTCATCTTCGAACCCACCGCCGTCGAAAGTATCCTCTCTGGACGTGCAGAGATACTATCATTGCCAAGGGTGCAACTTACTATTGAGCTTGTTTTGATCTGTTCCAAGGCAAAGCGCAGGCCCGGGGAGGGGCTGCTGCAAAGGTGTTGAGAACCTAAAAATGGAGGGCTCACCTCCTCCGGGTGAGGTCTGGCAAAGCTACATTCCTCACCCGGCTGCCTGCACGTTCCTAACGCCCTCCACCCCAACTACCCATCCCCGTCGAGGTTAGGAGAGGGGCTTTCTTGGCAGTACTGGAGTCAAATCTCAGTCTCGAACATATTCTTGAGACTCCACTAGGCCACTGAGGTTATTATTTTAATGACTCCTTTTTCTCCTGTACTCTGTGTCGCCTTCCAATAACACCCCACCACCACTGCCACTACTTTACACCATCTCGAGGCTAATTCCGCGCTGGTGGTTTGTTTCCTGCCCCAACCAAGAAAAACCAACCCTCTTCGGGCTGGAAATGGACTTTCGCGGGTTCCCGCCAGCCTCCTGGCTCCCAGCTAGTTTCGGCTTTGGTAGAATCAGCCGCCAGGACTGATGTGCGCGCCTCCGGAGGCTTACCCATCCGTGAGCTCGCAACACTTTTGCTCATAGGCGGGGACAAAGGCAACTCTTCCGGCCCCTGCTGCGATGTTAGAACGCGCTCGACTCTTGCTCAGTATTTGGAATATATGCTTAGGTATTTCAAGGAAGAGATGTTTCTTCCAACCTCTCTCACGCACCCGGTCCCGCAAAGCCGTCAAAGTCGGCCTCGACCAAACTCTTACTGTTTCGCTGCGCCTTCGCTTTGGCAGGGAAGGTGGCGCCTTTTCAACAAGCAACAAGTGTCCGATCTCTGGGAAGTCCGCCGTGTCCCTAGCCCTCTCCTGCTAGCAATTCGGGTGCTCTCGGACCTGGAACTGGCATTTTAAACAGTCAGACCCCCTTCCCAGTTGGCCTGCGAGAAGTGTCCCAAATTCTTTTTCCCTCCCTCATCTTGGGCCCCGCAGTTATGGGGGATTAAGGGGAGACTAAGTCCTCTGTCAGTCAAGGACGCGAAGCATAGTTAAGAAAAGCAATAGATCTTCCAGCAATTTCTGTCTCTACCTCCCCACGCCAAAAAAAAAAAAAAACACTCGAGTTTATAGCAAACCCGTCTCCCCGCCCCACCGCCTCCTCTTTCTCTCTCTGAGACCTGGATCTTGAAGGCAAAGCCCAAACAAACCTCCCAGCCTGCCAGGCACAAGAAGGTGCGGGGGCACTGACGGCGGGAGCGCTGCCTCCTGCGAAGCTGTCACGGTGACGCGGGGAAGGGGTGGGGGATGGTCTAAAAGCAGGTTGCCAAGAAACCCGCTCAGGTGAAGTGGGGAGAGGAAAACCAGCGAGAATCGAGGGGTGGGAGCCTGAAAAGCAGAGATGCCGGTAAGGACCTTCACAGGTCCCCGGGCTAATAGGATTTCGGGAGGCTTGTAGAGGGAGTGATGGTTCTCCGGTTTTATAACTAAAATGATAACACAGCCTCCGGGCCGCGTGGGCGTGACACGGCTCAGACGGTTTCTGGTGCCCCCTGCTGCGGGGAACTCAGAAATGCCTCGCAGCGAGCGGCTGCTTCTGGGAGCACTTCTGTGGCTTTCCTGGGCGTCCTTGCCTCCCCAGGCCCGGGGACCCACCAGGTGCCGGCGCCCGCAGCCTGCTGCTTTTGCCCTGCCGGAGCGTGATGGTCCCGGACCCAGAAGGGGACCAGCCTGCCAGGCACGAGAAACGGTGCGGGGTTACCTGGCAGAGCAGAGCCCCCATCACTTCAGGAGCAGAGCTTGGTTCTGGCACGTGGCGGCGCGTGAAGCAGTTCGCACCGCGGGCAAAGGCCCATGGTTGAGGAGAAACGCGTCGGGCAGATGTAGATGTGTTCTGGGAAAGCGATAGAGAGACAAACTGAGAAGCCGAGGGGTGGAGTCCACACAGACTCTGAGAAACACGTCCTAGTAGACGCTGTGTGCCGAGTCCCCAGAACCTCCCCCGTTTTCCCCCGCCCAGCAAATACCGGGAACTAAAGAGCCGCTCGGACTGGAGCCGGTCCCGGCGGCGCTCAGAGGGAAGAATGCGCCCTCCCTGTCCGGGGGGAAGAGGGGGAGCTCGATCGGGGAGCTGGCGGCGCTCGGCCGAGGGCGGGAACCGCAGCCGGGAGCCTCCTCTGGCTAGGCGGGGAGTTTTCCACTGTGTAGTCTTTTGCCAACTTCGCCACACTTCTAATTGAGGATCTCCACGTCCAATTTAAAAAGCCCTCCGTCGGCCAGGCAGGAAAAAAGGGAAAACCCTCTTAAGACGGAAGGGAAATCTGGTGCCTCTGTGGCTTCCTGCTGGCGGGCACCGCGATTTGGAATGGCGCATTAACCCCGCGCCTCCATGCTCCTGCGGTCTGACAGCCAGCCATTTCGCACGCACCCGGGAGCTGGCACCGGCGAGGGGATGGGGGCGGGGGGACGGCTCGCGTTCCTCAGGTCCTAGCTGCCAAAGTACCTTTCTGGGCTCATTTTGCACGGCCTGGTGCAGTTTTCCTGTGTTTGCGCGTCGCGACCCGGAACCTAGTTTTTCCGGAGTTTGCAAACCAGCCCACGAGGCAAGAGGCGCTGGGTGCTGCAGGTCACTAGGAGTTTCTAGTCCCTACACCCTCTCGAGCCCAACAGCTGTATAGCGAACAAACAGACGCTCAGGGGATGAAAAATGCATTCGTCTCTGCAGAGGTGGGAGGTGGCGGCCGAATTAAAGGCTTCCCCGGGTTGCGTACACCGGGACAGGGGCTGGGGTTCCGGGTAGAGATGAGGACTGGAACCCTGGAATGGAGACGGGGGTGCCTGTGAACTAATGGCTAGGAAAGGCACAGAGGTTTTTGCATTTACCTAGTTTCTACATTTCCCTCCCGCATGGGAAAAAAATAAAAATCGAGTTTTTCCTAAGAATCCGTTTTATGGAGCGGGTCGAGGGGAGAGGATAATCGACTGCATGAATTTCGCAGATTCCACTTGAGGAGTTTCTCTCTAGGTCACTAGTCCCCTGGAGACTGGAACCCTGGGATTAGGAAAGCACTGGATAACACTGTGCCCCAAGATGCCTCGGTTCTTTCCCGTCTCATTGGTTGGAACTCTCCCCCGAATTTACAGCCCCCTTTTCTCACCCACCCTCAGCTGCGTGGCCCTCCTTTGTAGGGGTGTGAGGATTGAGAAGCCAAACAGAGCCCACCTCGGACTGAAAAGAGCTGAACCCCCTACTCTGCGCCATACCACTGTCTAGGCCTTCCAATGCCAGAGCACCTCCAAAGCGTCGGAGACTGGGTACAGTCGTCCAGGCGTGATGGGGGCGCGGGGAACCAGCGACCCCTCTGGGAGGGGAAGGGATTACGGGCAGAATCTCATCTCTCAAAGGTGCAAAAATCCAATCAAGAAAGGGTTTTCGGGTATACTACGGAGGATTAAAACTTTCAAGACTGCAATGCAGTCTTTGCCTAACAGCAATGGTAAAGCATTTATTGAGCTCTTACTACATGTTCCGCTAGCGCTTTTCATGCGTGATTTAATGTTCATAACCTTAAGAGGTGGGACGAATATTTTTAAATCGAATCAGTGCTTCGGGAAGTTAAGTAACTTAACCCAGATATCCCATACTGGCCAAAAGTCTCCAAGTCCCCGCTAACTTCTTGCTCTGGCAACAGAATACCTATTTAGATGGGGAAAATGAGGCGTGGGTGGCAGGCCGGGTGAGTGGTACCCCCGAGCCTATCCTCGAGTAGCCAGAAGCCCGGTCGGGACCCGAGGCAGGGGAGTGCGCTTGATTTTATTCCCAAAGAGAAAGACCGGTCACTGCTTGGGCAGAGGACTGGTTCCGGGGCCTATAGGAGCTACCGGGACAAGAAGGGGAGGTCTCTGGTTGGAGTGGAGGACGCAGGGTGGGAACTACCTGATTGCCCCCCAGGAATGGGGGATTTTGCGCACCAGTAGAGGGCACCGGACAGGAATCGTGGTGGGGGTTAACTGGAGGGACAGCAGCCCTGCTTGAAACTCTGGGTGACCCCTAAGACCGGGTGGTGAAGAAGGGCAACTGCAACCTGAACCAGGAGTGCGAGCTGCTCCTGGGGCGCACTGAGGAGGGAGAAGCGAACTGGGGACTTGCAAGGAGGGCAGGAGTGCCCGGGAAGCCGCTGGCCTGCAGCCGTGCCGGAGGAGGGCGGTGATGAGGTTGGAGAGGGGCGCAGGGACCCGCGGGGAGCCCAGGCTTAACGTGCTATTCTGCGGTTCTCTCCCCCACCTCCCGCCTGCCCGCGCAGGTGCCGCCGCCGGACGGGACTTTAAGATGAAGTTATGGGATGTCGTGGCTGTCTGCCTGGTGCTGCTCCACACCGCGTCCGCCTTCCCGCTGCCCGCCGGTAAGAGGCCTCCCGAGGCGCCCGCCGAAGACCGCTCCCTCGGCCGCCGCCGCGCGCCCTTCGCGCTGAGCAGTGACTGTAAGAACCGTTCCCTCCCCGCGGGGGGGCCGCCGGCGGACCCCCTCGTACCCCCACCCGCTGGCACGTACCCCAAGCCAGCCCGATGACTGTGTGGCCTACCGACCCGTGGGCAAGGGGTGCGGGTGCTGAAGCCCCCAGGGGTGCCTGGCTGCCCACTGTTTCCCACACGCCTTGCCTGAAAGTGACACGCGCTGGTTTGCCCAGCACAGAGGGGATGGAATTTTTATGCTGCTCCTTTAACATTCTGATGAACAAATATGCTCCCCACCAGCACCACCACCTCAGAAACGACACACACAGCTGTCCCCTTTTCTGTTTCCTCATCTATACACACTCCCAGTTTTTCTTTTATTCTAAAGCCCTTTATCTGTGTGACTGTGCCTGGCTGTGCTTAATTCTGAAAACTATTGCACTTTCATCCTAAACCGCGCCTGCAAGGCGAGAGGCCGACTTTTCACAAAAGCAAGCCAGAGGCAGAGAAAACACAGAAGGGCCTCCGTTTCCAGAACAAGCGTCTGGGTAATGTCAAATCTGTTCAGAAGAGTTCCTCTGTTCTGTAAAGTTCCGGTTCTAGAAAGACTTAACCATAAATAGTGCTGGCTGGGACTAGGGACAAAGACTGTAGCTCCCTCCACGTGTGACAATGCTAACTCTTGAGAAAAAAAACCCAGGTTATTCTTATTAGAAAATAAGTCTGTGATTTACCTCTCAAAAGTTAACATGTTTTAGAAGCAAGTCAATTAGAGCGTATCGGCTGTGATGTGATCTCCTTTTCCCTCCCTCCTCAGAAGCTTGTTGCATGAAGTGAGAGATGCTACATTACACGTGATAGAGGCTATTGCAGAGGCATAATGTCAACAAAGGTAGCAATAGAAAATTTCACACAACCCCAAAATAAAGCAGGAATGAGCTGTATGTAACTAGGATACCACCCTGGCTACTCTTCCCTCCCTAACCCCACCCCCAGAATTATCCCTCTAGTTACTTTGCGCTTGAAACTTACTATGGTCATAACCACAGTAGTAGTCCCGCAATAGTCAGCTGTGCGCTGAGTCCGCCAAAGCCAGTGGCCTTGGCTAGGAAACAACCCAGTAAATGCAATATGTTTATTTTATGCTTAATTATAGCAACAAAAGCACCTCTTCCACAAGTCCAAAGAAAGACAGAAAGTGGATTTTTTTTAAAGGCAAATTAAGACTTCAAAAGTAAGTTAGGGAGCATGGTTAATCCTTTGAAACTAAAGTACCTGTTCCAAGAGTGTCTATCAATTAGCTGTATAAACCTACTTTAGAGGCTTTTATTTCCATCACAAATTTAGTGTATATAAATGTTCCTCCAACAGAAACTTAAAAATGCCCCTTAGTGCCAGGTCTTCCAAAACTGGCTATTCATTCACTGAAACAGTCTAGACGAGAGGGACAGGGACATAATGGCAGATAATAGTTCTCTAACCCAGACATTGCCAAGAGAAAAACGACTGTGCCTGATTACAAAGCTGATTAATTCATGGAGGTTTAATTGCCTTATTAGTGCGCTGTTTAACTAGGTTCATTTAATTCTGGCTCGGGCTCCTGGCTCTGCTTTCAACTAACTCTGTGACTTTCGGGCAAGTTACTTTAGAGCTCAATGAGTAGTCTGTAACTATACCATAAAGAGAGGCCTTTCTACTCCACAATGCCAGTGGCTATAAGATCTGCCCCTTGGCCTTTATGCTTGTCCTAAAGTCCTTTGGGAAGTCTCCTAAGAAGAGATTGGAGTCACCTAGGGAACTTTAAAGAATACTGATGCTAGGTCTCACCCCAGAAGATTCTGATTTACTCGGTTTGGGGTGCGGCCCAGGCACCTGAGTTTTTAGGTGTTCCCCAGATGAGTCTAACATGCAAGCAGACTTGAGCCACTACAGCTTGATAATACCCAAGAAAATCTTTGGCTCATATAAGGTACAAATAGTCACAAAGCAAGTGAGTTAGCACAGATTGCGGGGGCGAGGGCATGTTGTGGGGAAGAAGGATTGCTTCCCTTTTCCAAAATTGATACTATGCCATCAGTGAACAAGATTCTCACTATTCTATTTATATTTGAACAGCAGAACACACCCCATTGTGTTTTGTCTATGACAAGACCTAGTCGATCCTAGAGGAAACCTGAAAAAGAAACATTCCCAAAGAGAAACTGAGCTGCATTCTAAGCCAAATTGACTTCTTTCCAGGTATGTTTGATTCAGTAGCAAGCTGTCAGTGCAGGGAAGGCAAAATAATGACAGTATGCAGACTTTGAACACTGAACCAGTGTCAACACGCCCCTGTCACAGTGCTGACATTTATATCCTGCACTGTACATGGTGCAACTGGTTAAGGCTTATGTAGAAAAACATTAAGTCACCACATTTAATTTAAAAATAGAAAGTATCATAAATTCTGATTCCTCTAGTTCCATCCAAATACTTGTAACTTAATGATTGAGCAAAAGAGCTTTCATGCCACATTAACAGTCATCCTGTGCTTTTCACAGGAGGACCAGGATATATAGTTTGCACACTCACCTTTGAGATTGCATGTGTTCTGCTGGTTCCAATGTAAATAAAACATCCAGAATTCTATTCCTAGTATGACCTCAGTGTGAGATAACTGAATAGAATTCATAATTGGCCAATGGGCTTGCCTAGAGGCTGGTTGTAAAGTAAATGGCCCAGGACTGCTTCCTGTAGCAACTTCTAGCCTGTCTAAACTCAAGGACTTGTGATTTGACTTTTGGGCTACCCAAGACTTTTCTCTTTGGCTGTCTTTGTTCGTTTATTTTGCTTTTTGCCAGTCTTTTGCTTTTTGCCAGTTTCCAAAGGGCAATTAGAGCAGGCATGAGGAATCTGCAAGTTGAAACTTGCAAATGTCATAGCATTTTTAAGCTGAAAGGAAACCCCTCTAGTCCTGAAACCTAAAGAGGCAAAGCAACTCGTATATAATGTGCCACAGTTCCATGATCACAGGAGGCAGGTCTGAAGCTGGGAACAGTGTTTCCCCCAAACTACTGAAATGTACTTTATATGGGAAGGGGAGGATACTTTGTATAGGAGGAAGGTCTTGAACTAATGACTTAGACCATGGTGCACAAGGTTGTTTGAATTTATTGAAGGTTAGTTCATCATAGTCATATTCCCTATCTTAACTCTAAATGTATTTAATAAGTAAAAGCATAAAATGCATGTGGTTTTAAAAATTTGCATCTAAATGCACATATACATTCACCAAATAGTTACATGTGTGCCTGTCTATGCCAGGCACTGTCCTAAGTGCTAGGGATACCTTGATACACCTAATAAACAAAAGTCACTGCCCTCATGGAACATACCTTCTAGTAAATGTCCATGTGTGGTGGTTTGAAAAAATTAACGTGAAAGAACCTCAGTCCAGTAAGGTGGGCTGAATTTTTTGTGCGACTGGAGACCAACTAAAATGACATTGAGCATTGTTAAGTTGTAATCACAAGTAATTCCCAGTTTAGTATAATATAATGGGATTATATTCTACCAGTTTGAGAGCAGTTCACAAAATTTCCTATGGGAACAATTTTTTAAATTAAGCTATCAAGTTTTCAGGCTAGCCCACAAAAACCTATGTAAACCACAATATAACTGAACTGTCATTCACAATATTACTGACAGTCTCTGCCCTGGGGGCCATATCCTATAATCTGCAAAAGGAGGGCACAGAACAAATCAGGGAGGTTTCAGCAAGCAAGAGCTCAAGGTAACACATTCAGACCAGACTAGGATTTGGACCCCAGCCTTGCCACTTAACTGAGATATTGAGCTGTTACTTAACGTCCCTTAAGCTTCGGTTTTTTCCCCTGTAAAACAGGCATAATAGTAAACCAGTCTCATGGGCTGATGTGAGGGTATTGCTTTGTAAAGCCTCTGCTCCATAAATAGGGATCATAGTTGTCATTTGCCACCCTCCTACTTACAATGGCCCCTCCTTGGGCACCCAGTGAATTCCCTTCTTCCGCTGCGACATCTGCCAGGATGCTGCTCTAAATAGTGGGATTTCAGCAGCACAACAGAGTACGGGGAGTGAAAGAAATGCAGGCCTTGTGGGCAGGCTATTTTGGGCCCTATTATTGGTTGGCCAGCACGTAGGCAGGCCAGGCTTGCCTGGGATTCTGCCCCTGGGTCAGCTGCCCCTGACTCTTCCCAGGTTTCACAGCTCCGTCGCTTCCCCAGTTTCCAAGCCCACATATTTCCAGTGGAATTTTTCTCACCAAACTCCCATGGTTGTGTTAGGGAGACCTCTTCCCTCATGGGAAGGAGGGAGGCAAGGCAGGGTAGGATCTTTCTATGTAAGTGATAAGAGGGTTGTGAGTTGGAGGCTACCTGTATAGAGATGGAGCGTATCTTTGTAAATGATCCCAGCTGGATATTTAATTTAAGATGTTTCATACCCTAGCAAAAAAACTTAGTAAACTGTGAGACCACCTCTACAGATCTAAGCAAGCTTCTAGTGCAACAAACTGGGTAAATGTTAAGCTTTCGAACCTAATGCTATGAAATATAGAATTTAGAATAAACAAGCACCATGTATCTATTATGTCTTATTGCTTAGGTACTGTATGACTGGACAATACTTTAACAAAGTAACTACCTAAGCTGGAAAGGCGCTCTGCCACTTGGGAAGGGTCTCTTGGAATCAAAAAATTGCACATCAGACTCTTGTAGGAGGCACTGATTCTTTACTTGAGATCTGAGACCAACATTCTCATTCTGGTCCCAGTCTGGAAACCTATTTCAAACTGTTGCTGTTTAGAGACATCTATTTAAGGCTTAAATTGATTTCGCCAGTCTTAGGATCTTAGGCTGACCCAGGGCGTAAGCAATGTACTCAACAGGTTCTTCTTCAACAGATATAAAAATTAAAGCTCCCTGATATTTTCCCCTGCTAACATCTCTTTGTTCTTTGTTTATTTAGCACTCGTGACCCATAGCACCTTCGTTTGATTAAAATACT